AAAAAAACAAAGCAATAGTAAATGTGACTTTAATGAACGACCTAATGCAGTATAAAGCTCTTCCTTTTCCTAAGCCAAATATATCAATTTCGGTTAAATTAATATTATGCGTCCGTGGCCGAGTGGTTAAGGTCGTTGACTTCAAATCACTTTCCCCTCACCGCTGAGGGTTCGATTCCCGACAGGATCGTTTGATTCTTTCATATGAAGTTAGGAAGCTATCCAGCTCGCTTATGGAACGTCGGTGGTTCTTCTCAGGTGCCTGACATAATGCACCAACAGGGACTTTGGATTCTTTCATGTGTGGTGGTTCTACTCAGGTGCATGGAAGGGTTCTCGAGGTTTTCCTCTACCAGTAAAGCTGGAACGCCTCAATTTGACCTATACTGTGTCGGTGTAACGTAAACCCAAATCAACCAAACAAGCAAATATAATATTATGAGGTTATTATACATTGTTGAGTACAGTACTGAATTATATTGGACGATTGCACAGTTGTTTAACCTATATTGCACGAGGCGCCGTCGTGCCTGATGTGCAGCTGTGTACGAGTCCAATATAATCGGTATTGTTCTCTATCATGTTTAATGACCTCTTTATTTCACATCATCATTTTTTGACATTTTTTCACAACTTTTTTACTTCAATTACAATAAGGATTTGATATGGGTTTTGGAATCTCAGAAAAAAGGAATGCGGTGGGATATGGAGTTGCTATGAAGCTTCTGAAATCTGAAAATAAACGAGAGGCTATACTGGGTGTGATATGGATTAAATATGAAACTTATCGAAAAGAAAAAGAGGCTACATTTATAAACTGGACACAATAACGATTTATAATGGAACATCATGTGGTACAAATACAGTAAGTACATTAGTTATATTTTACAAGGTGTGAAATAATAATTTAACAGAATAAGAAATTAAAACGTCACATACTTTCTTTGTAGTTTCGTTTTTATCAGATAAATGTTAATCCGTCATTCATTTGGCTGAGCCCGGGTATTCTCTTTAAACTATCTTGGACTTGTATTATCTAGCGGTGCCTCATTTACAAATGCTATACAGACTCTATCAGGAAAAGCACTAAAAGCTATGAGCTCTTTACTTTCAGTAACAAGACCATTGGAAATACCAGCAAAAATATGTTTAATCTTTTTGACAGTTATGTTGCATCCATACTAAATTATTCTTGTGAAGTATGGGGATTTACAATGTCTGAACAAAAATAGAAAGGTTCATAGAAAGTTTTTAAAAATGGGTTTTAAATGTAAAAATGACTACATGTAATGCTGCTTGTACGGTGAAACTGGTCGTTTTCCGCTTTTTATAATACGGCAAATAAGAATTGTAAAATATTTTTTTGAAATTACACTTAGAAAAAAGTAATAATTGTTTGCTAGAAATTGTAATTTTGTCACTTAGAAAAATTGATGATAGAGATGTAAATCAAACTAACTGGGCAACTAAAGTTAAGCAATCGTTACAAGAAACAGGATTTAATGATGTTTGGTTATTTCCTGAATCTGTCAATGTTAATATTTTTATTCCAATACTTAGAACAAGACTTATAGATATCTTCTATATCAGTAACTGGAGACAAGGTGTAAATAATAAAAGCTCACTCTCTTCTCTTTGAATTATCAAATTATTTAAATAAAATGTTTTGCACAAAATTGAGAAATACAATAGCTAAACTAAGATTGTCTTCGCACCGTTTAAATATATAGACTGGCAGACATAGAAACATTGTGAGATCGGAAAGAAAATATACATTTTGCAATGTAAACGACATAGAAGACGAATATCATTTTGTGTTAATTTGTCCTACTTATTCAGATTTAAGAAAATTGTATATACCACGTTATTACTATAGGCATGCCAGTATGGTTAAATTTATTGATCTGTTAAATACATGTAATACAAATACTTTAAAAAGATTAGCAATATTTTGTAATAAAGCATTTAGTATTAGAAATGAAAATATGAATAATGTATATAACTAGTATGATAATATCAAATGTTAAATTTGTATGTTTGTATTTTCAATCTCGCTGTATTTAATGTATGCTGTATATTTGTGTAACGACGAGGAACTGTTATGTTCAAGTCATATTGAATAATACAATCTGTTCTGTTCTGTTCTGTCTGTTCTGTTTAAAAGCATTTCTAACTCTCAAGTCGAGCCTTAATGTGTAAAATATTACAAACGATAGAAAGTTATGATAGTGATAACCGATAAATGATGGTCAAAATATGCCAAGGCTTAAATATAAAAACTGTTCAAAATATAAAACGACTACCCTTGGCCAGTCTTTTGTTTTAATAAATCGTGACCTATTAATTCAAAATGCAAAAATTTATCAAATTTCCGTGCGTCACATGGATTATTGATTACTTTTGCATCGAAAAAAATACAAATAAACACCATTAATACAATAAAATATTAAGTTATTTGACTCTTACCTTTCCACTAAGGTGGGCATAATGTCAGTTTAACAGCGGGTACGTCGTTGCAATTTTTATAATAAACGAAAATGTGCCGCGTCACGACAAAACCAACATAATGGATTTGCGACCAGCATGGATCCAGACCAGCCTGCGCATCCGCGCAGTCTGATCAGGACCCATGCTGTTCGCTATTAGTTTCTCTACTTGTAATAGAGTTGGTAAGCGAACAGCATGGATCCTGATCAGACTGCACAGGCTGGTCTGGATCCATGCTGGTCGCAAACGCATTATGTTGGTTTTGTCGTGATTCGGCTCAAAATATTTTCTACGAGTACTGCTCGGTGTTGTTTGCAATAGCAATTACAAATCTTAGATATGAAAAAAGTATTCCATTTGATTCATTCCTTTAATTCAGATACAAAACATATTGTTTACCACTCGTTAACAATTGTGTTTTATAAGTGAAAACAAATGTGTTATTAAAATAAAGTGTAACAATCAGTTAAACTACTTAAGGATAAAAACAACTTGTTAAATCGTCGACCTTATGAAATAAAGAAATAAAGAAAGGAAGACGTTGACTGGGGAAATTAGTTTTGATAAAAACTCAAAATTGAATTTGTTTCTAAATTAAAGCAATTTATATCTTATTTCTGAATCACGTTGGCAGAAATTAAAATTGTATGATATTGTTATTGTTCGTTTATGTGACCATTATCACGTATAACTTTAACTATTGTCATTATAAAAATCGATTTCGAATAACTGTGTCGATAGAAAATATGTTATGAACTTAAAATTGAATAGGAGGTTACAGATCTTCCTGTTTCGCATCAGTGTTAATTGAGAATTATCGATATGAAATATTGTTCGTCACTTCCTGAGGCATTGTAAAAATGGTGAACCACGGGGGTATAAATCAAGAACAGCTATCAAAGGACGCTGATCCAGATTACACCATGTCACAAAGAATGACCGACAAGGCACCAATGTTTGTCGGTACGGAATAAGATCGTGGAACCTCAAGATTGAAAAATAGAAATGCACTTGATTTTTCTCAATGCTTGCTGAATAAACAAATAAATAGGGGGATAAGTTTCCGTTACATATCCCTTTTCTGGAATCCTAGTGGATATAAATCATGCTTTATAATGGTGCTTTTTATCTGTCACATAAAAGGAATGATAAAATCATTATAATCCTATAACATTGTAAAAACAAGTATGAATTAAACCATTTTCAGATTGTTAATTGAATTCTGTGTGCGTGCGTTTGTTTTTGTGTTTGCCTCACTACAAGCTTCATTAAAACGGAATAATAATAAGAAATTAAAACTAAATTCGCGTTTTAATTGATATTCGTCACTAAATGAACGATTATGTCAATATACGAGTAATATGTTTTACTTTAATCATGCGATTATTCTTGCGTTCATTGAACGCCGCCTTTCCTTGACGATTTTGTTTATCATATTAATTCTAAGTAATCCTTAATCACAATATGACATCTTAAAACTATAACCTTGAAAATAAAAGCTTTTTTCAGCAGTTTTGTAGTCAGTAAAAAGACAGATGTAAGAATTAGGGTAAATAAAAGAAATTCAGATAGGAAATTAGAGATGTTGTTTCCATTTCCTTCAATCAAAGAAAATTAGATTCAAAAAATAAAACCGGATAGAAATGTTATCTGCGTAAAGTAATATCTTATGATAAAGGATGGGAAACCACGTACAAGAAGCACATTGAACTCTTCGTGCACTTAATAATCTGAGTTAAAAACTTACTTATAATGTAGGAAAATTGATTAAAGTAAGTCATTAACCTTTAATTGTGCTTAATCAACTTAATTATCATCAGCAATTGTCGTTTTTTCTTGAACTTCAGGACATATTTTTTTACAATTGTCTCTTTAGGTGTTAAAACATTTAATTACATGTACATGATACTTCGAGTTGGTTTCGTCAAGGGTAAATGCAGATTAAATAACTGTAACAGTTTCTTCTGACGGTTGAAATATACATATGTAGATATATAAGATGTAATTCCTATCGGGTTCGTTATTCAATATAGCAAAGTTCATGCCCCTCAAGTATAATCAGTAAAAACACATGACTTTTAAGCCGTCCGTTATCAGATTTTACTGTGTAATTGGTATAAATACTTTCTCATTTTATTTAAACTGAGAATCTTTTATTTATTTATTTTTTGTGGTATTTTAACCGTCACATTAGAGATTCTTCTCATCTTTTTATGTCGAATCTAAATGTCAATCTGACTAAAGTTATTTCTTGCATGTAGATCTGATTGGCACCGTATTTCTTTCGCCTTTATTGTGATAAGGATTTCCCGAGAAAGCTATTTTTAGCCATGCAATCAATATTTGAAAGGACATAAGAAGTGACTTCCTATTGGTCCCCGTCAGATCCTAATGCTTAGAGTTAATAAGGATACTGATCTCAATGTCTTCCTGTATCATCCTGTACTTATCGTTCAGCGATTATATAAAATCAAACTTTAGGTTGCAATGATTGTAACTTGTTTATGATTTAATTCACTTTATTCACAATTCTTAATGGCAAATTGACGTTTCAGCAAGAAAAACACATGTTTAGTTATAACCTCATTTTACACGATGTCCTGCACCATGAAAAATATATACATTTAACAAACATTAAAATAATCTAAAATATTCCGTTGCCCATATTTTAAAATACATTCACGAGACAATATTTGATATCTGTTTTTTTTTTCATTACCACTATACATGTACATGTCATATTAACACTTACGAATTCAATGACAACACTCATAGTTTGTTCAGAAATTCATCGTTATGTCTTGTAGTCATCTCAAACATGTACAATTAATGTGAATACTTCACAACAGGTTTCTCAAACGTTAAATTTACTTTTTTTATTTAATTTACAATGTATGTACATTTCAAAAAATATATATTCTTTTTAAAATACATGTATGTTTTGATCTTTTTAAATATGAACCATGTTAATCAATATAACCCTCATAAAATCTTCAGATAATATTTTGTGTTTTTGTTGTTTTCTTTTTTTGTGAACGATTGCAATGTTTCAAACAAATGTGAGGGAGAATATAAATCAGGTCGAGTCCAGAGTAACATCCTCTAGAAGCTTGAATCGTCAGAGGCATTTTCCTTCCGGAATGACACTGTCATTCTTCCGTTGTTAAAAGCTACCACCATGTACTTATTACTTGACACTTTGTTTTCTTTACTTTGGCAGTTTTTTGTGTCATTTACATTTCCGCTGGAATTTTCTACATTTATGTATCTTGTACTCAATGATCGTGTAGTTCTGCTCTGTCTTCTGAATGCCAGCGTTTGGAATCTGCAATATAGCAGTTTTTTAAAACCTCTCCTGTACTTTTTGCTGAAGAAACAATAAATAATTGGATTCATGCCACAGTTCGACGCGCCTAACCATTGCGCGAACGGTAGGACAATTTCAAATAAAGTTTTTTGGTCACCCTCTGATAAATCCTCGGATTGAAAGTAAAACTTTAGGTATATTGCGTACAAAGGAAGCCACGAGAAAGCAAACAGAATCACAATTACTGCCAACATTTTTAAAACCTTCACTTTAGATTTGTAGATAATTAATCTTCCATTTGTTTGAACGCCAGGCGCGTTTCTTTTCCAGATCTTTACGGCAATTAGAATATAACATAGAAGAATCATAATTAGAGGTAACAAGTAACAAACACAAAACAAGGCTACGAGAAAATATCCTCTTTGAAGATCGAAATTTGGCCATAATTGGTGACACATCGGTACTTCGTGGAATTTTGGGTGCATGTACTTCTGATAGAAAACTAAGAGCGGGATCATTATTGAGCCGGCAAATATCCAAATAGAAGCTATTGTCGTCCGCGAAGCACATGTTGAAATTTTGGAATGTCGTGTGTAGCAAATTGCCAAGTATCTGAAATATATCATTCCTTCTTTATATTTGACATATCTGTACAAAGCGTTTTTCTATGAATTATTTTATAAATAAAGTTTTTTGTAAATGAAGTGAAATCTTGAATATATTTCTTAAAAATTGAACATCAAATTAAAAGTTAAACATACTTATTGCAATATTGTTAAGAAATATATATTAAATGAGTTATATGTTATTTTGCTTCACACAGCAAAACAGCAGAAAAGAAAATTAAAATAAAAAAGTAGATGAAGATGATATTTTTATATAAGTATAATAAAGATTAATATTTATATATCAACGAATTCTCTACAGGAGTTCACTCACATATTTCAGCAAGCTATTTTTTAGTTTAAAGATCATTTGATACTGATTTATGATTTTGTTTTTTCAAAAGATTTTATAGGAGAACCTTTACCTGTCAAACGCAATTGCTGCCAGAGTATTTACTGATGCGCACTGAACTACACTTTGAACATATGGCGTGATTTTGCAGAGAAATGCACCGTATCGCCATCCTGAAATATAGAGGAAAGATATGTGAACATTATGTTTAAAATGATTCTATCGTTTAAACAATGCTTGAACAGTTTCTTTTAGGACGAAATATATGAAAGGTGATTTAAATTCTGAAATAACAACGAAACGACGATATAAAGTAACATAACAATCTCGTCTTGTAGTTAGTATGAACACCAATATTCGGTGCCTTGTGTGTGTGCGTGCGCGCGCGTGCGTATGTGTATGTGCGTGTGTGTGCGTGCGTGGTGGCTTGTGTGTGTGACAATAAAATAATAGCCCGCCGTCGTTCTTTCAACGATATTACTATTGACTGAACAGACAATCCATATTGTACCTGAAAGCATAAGCACGATGAGCACTAACATTAAAACATGACTTATCTACTTTGTTGTATAAACAATAGAATATATTCAAGTACATCTATAACTTTATTATATCAATTTCAAGGAATACGATACGTTCTTTTTTCCAGGTATGCGTCTGATGTTCCTGTGGAATATGTACTATTATATGTTGTATCGTATTCTTAATTTGAATGCATTGACTCAACAAATATGAACCAACAATTATAACTTTATATTACAGATAAGCTCTATATGATTTTGAAGAGAAATAAAATGAGAGACAAACCAAACAGACGAAAAGGATTTGAAATATCTAATTACATACCGTTGAACTAGAAAGAGTATTAACATGATCGTATTATTGTTCGGAAGTGAATATGGCATGTTAAACGTTGCAATATTCAATACATTAATTTTTTGTTCTAAAACCAATATTTATATTGTAAAACTCTAATTATGTATGCTTTACCATATAATATTTATTCAATCATGCTGAATATGTGTTCATCATAAAAAATATTTGTGTGCGATAATTTTCTTTAAAGGGATAATGGCAAAATGAAATTTTTTTTATCTTCACCTCACTATATACCCTTGGATGGGCATAATGCCACTTTAATCCAACCTTTAGTTTTTGAAAATAATATTCAATTCTGACATAACTTCCGCAAACGATATTTTGTTTTGTTTGTCCATTATTTTATAAAGAAACTATATGCTTTCTGTAATCACAGAACCCAGTCCCCGACACAACCCAGCTACATTTAAACAGAACAGAACATTTCTTTTATTTCATAGACACAGATTACAAAACATACATTTTGTAATAACATGTGAACAAATAAACAATTATTTTACAACATAATATATATGTCACAGCATTTTTAACTATAACTATAAAGGATGGTGAGATATGGGGATGGTGATCATATCTTTAAAGAAATTTCAGAGTATAGGAACAAGCAACAAATATCATTAAGTATGTACAAATAATTATGGTATCAAATATTCAGTGGTTTAGTATGCATTACTAATTGTTTATATCATGTATGAAGCAAGAGAAAAGAGAAATTTACAGTATTCATTCTTTGTTTATATATATGTATATGCACAATTATGTGACATTTACATGGTCTTAACAAAAAAGTCAAGTAACACACAGAAAAAATGAAAATAGAATCCAAACACATACATAATAAATAGTGAATAACATAAATTGCAACTATCATGTTGCCACCCCTATTATTTGAACATAGTTGCGCCCGTTTAAATCTTAGTTGGGAGAATTGCATGGTACCGATAAAGTCGTGGAAAGCGTGACACTTCTTGCGGGGTATTTCATTGACTGGTGAAATAACAAATGAAATTGGTTTCCGCCTATCTTTTTTGATTGGCTGATAGAGCAAAGGGGTTGGATTGACAGGTGAAGGTGGAAAATGACTAAGTGACTTAGTTGAGCATATTTAAACCACAGGAATAAATATGGAAACCTGGAACTTTATACACATTAAAGGTAAGTTAGTTAATCGGCTTGTTTTGTTAATTAGTAGAATTATAATAAAATAATAAAGTATTGTAAAGTAATGGATTGATATATGGTAAATTGTTGTTTGAAAAATGTTTTCATAAGTAATTTATATGCAGTCACTAATTTGTAAATCATGTAAGATTTTTACAAAACATGAGGTAAACAAATCACAATACATGTCAATATAGCAGAGATGAATATAAACAATAATAATTCAAAAGAAAAATTATGATATTATACACACAGAAATAAGTACAAAAGGTTCTTAGAAAGATTAATTCCGGGAAAACTGTCGAATAATTTTCTTAACAAAATAACTTAGTCGCTCAAGAAGACCAGTGTCGTTAGTTGAAAGTAAATCTCTAAACTTAATTATATTTGGTCTTTGGTAATATTTTGATGGTATATATTTTTTCCTTTCTACATTAAAGAACGGGCAGGTCAAGAGATAATGCATCTCATCACCTAGGTCATTGGACGTACATAGTGGACTCTTCCTTTCATGATGTGGTACGTGGTTTTGAGCCCACCGACCAACCTCGATGGGCAGCCTATGATTACCTGTGCGGAAGTTGAAAAGTGACAACCGAACGAAAATCTGGATTTTTTGATTTACTGCTGGCAAATGGCACGTCCTAATGTTACCTTACGTTAAGTAACATATGTAAAATATATGTAAGAAAGGTCTTATCTTCTATTTATCCACGATGTGTAAAACGCATAACGATCCCACAAGATGATAAAGTAGGAATTACCTTTCAGACAGAAAGCATGATTTTCTTGACATATTGTATCAAACAAAAGCTGTTTTCTTTTCCTATGCGTACGCTTAGTAGTCAGTATAGTTTGTTTGAACCAATCTTCCCTTCCAAAATGCTCCGATAGCATGAGTATGAATAATAAATATCTATTATTCATACTCATGCTAAACTTGTTTTCAGATACACAGATGTTTCTTATGAAAATGAATAAAATTTAATAATAAAAATATTTTTAGTTATACTGCCTAAGGACTATCATTCTTAATCACCAATTACTGGTCTGTAAAAGGACAAGTTATATGGTTGATTTAAGGTTTTTACAGATAATAAATCCATATAAGTTACTTGAATGAGAATGTCTTTTCCTAGTTAACTACAAATATGGCGAAATATTTTCACTTTTATATATCTTTATTGGTAACTTCTGTATCTCTCTAATAAACATTTGTCTTTTGCATATCTTCTTTTCCGATTATATGTTGTTGATATTTCTTCCGAATTATCAGAAATCTAATCTGGTTTTATTTAAGGATTTCGAGAAGATGTACAATATTAATTACAAACCGTTCCTGTCTGTTTTCAAGGATGAGATTGTATCTGAGGCTGTCCTTGAAATAACAGCTTTTTATGATGTTAAATGATGATTTTAGCTTCCGGTTTCAAGAAAACACGAGATAAGATCACAATACCAATTTTAGTATTTGCTTCACTACACATACTTGGAATTGCCGTCCAGAAAACTATAAAGGTTGACAATTACAATTCATAAATGCGGTACACAATTTCCAAATAAAAAAGAAATGTTGAGATTAACTCCGAGTAAAAACTCTTGCGTTTTCTCGCCATTACCGTTATCTCATTATTTACCGTAATAAAACTATTTGCCTCTTGCTGATTTTTTAAAGTAAGCTGAGCGTAATTTTATTGATTTATGCTTAGTTAACTAAGTAAAATAAGCTAATTAGCCTTAACAGCGTTTGAACGCAGTTAAACTATTGTTTAAAATACTGCAAGTCCTTTATCCCACATACATTGTAGATTTTTACTTTATTTTATCCTAATACATTTTTCTCAAGTTTAATGTTCATGAAATATTATCTCTTATCTGGAGGCATGTAGCTTACAGGCAAGCATGACTTGAAACATGATACATAATAAAGAAAGAATGACTTTGTACATGTTGTATATGCGAATAGGACATAATTATGTTTTATAAATATTTTATTGATTCCTTTTATATTTAACTTCCCTAAGAAATATCTCACCAAACACATGTATGTTTTTTTTTTCTAAACAGCTACTCAGCTGTGAAACTAATAACTTACGAGATTTCTATTTTTATTATATGTAGTCCGAGATGTTACACATATACTGTATTGAGACCATTTGTCATTGGATAATACCGTGGCATATCCCATTAAAACATTTTAGGAAATGCCACAGTTGAATACAAATGCTAAAATTATTCACCTCACACATATTTGTTTAACTTAGCTCTCGAAATTAAAATGTCCAAGAATGACAAAAAAAATTAAATTGTGTGTACAAAAACATTATTTAATTCATACAAATCAGGCGCCGTTCATTTTCGTTGATACATTAAATTTTATTAAATTGCGGAAAAAAGCAAATATTTTTTCCAATACAAAATCATTATGATTCATAATCTTGAAGATGCTATAAGATACAAACATCAACCACATATATACGAAACATTCTAACAGTTATTAGTTGATTTATCAACCCTCGGATTGTTAGTGGGTTATTTGTTAATCCCACTTCGGGCTATTGAAGGATCATAAAATAAGTGGTTTCAGTCCTTATCATTTTTCAAATAAATTTGGCTAATTCGTTATCGATTTTGTCAAAAAATCACGTTATTTATTGAAAAAGAAATACAACACTTTATGTCTGATTACGTCTATATATTTTTACTTACGTTCTCCTTCGGTAACATAATTACTTTGTTTGACTTGTATATTTCATTTTTTCTTTAACTGCACTCAGTGGTTGAGTTAAAATTGCGCTAGCTGTTGTCAATTTAGGAATATCATAAATGTGTTGTCCTTTTAAATTTATAAGACGAACAGTATCACATTAGATACGCATTTCCTTTATGTCCTTAAGCCCTAATTCTGGAATATAATAAAAAGTAAATTTATGCATAAATAACAATTAATTTATCAAAACCCCAGCAAACACACACTTTGTTATCAATTTACTCTCTATAATCTAAAATACCTGCTAATGTAAACACGATATTTTTAATTTACTTCACTGAAATAACATATGTAAACAATTACTCAACTATAATGATTTCCAATTTGAGCTGGAACGCCCACCGGAAAGTAAAAACCAGACAA